TGGGTCAGGTGGCTCTGGATCAGTCTCTAGGTGGATGGGTTTCTTATCTCTAACAACACGTCTTTCTCACCAAGGTGCTGGTGGGAACAAGCTCTAGTGTCACATGGAAATAACGGGCCTTAGAACAAGTATAAGTGACATCAGTCAACCTATTGGGACTTGCTAGAGAGAGGTGCGGTTGGGAACACTGCCATGGCTCCTGAATCAGCAACACTGAGTTGCTCTGGGTAACAAAGAAAGCCTCTTCGTGTGCAGCAGTGCCAGCCTGGCCTGCCTGCGTCGGTGGGCAACACTTCCAGGCGAAGGGTGGCTCCGCAAAATGTTACACTCGTGGAAAAAAAAAGCAGGGGTGACCCTGTTTGCCGCTTGTCTCTGTTCACACAGCGTTGTTCGGGTGACAGGTTTGCCCACAAGCTGGTTTAATGGCGTAAATAAGGCTTTGCTTAAGCCAGCTGAGATTTCCTGGTCCTTGCAGGTGTTGTACAAGCAGTTTGGGGAGCAACATAAGAGAGCAACACAGCTCTCTTGTAAATGGGCTTTTCTTGAGTCGCTTTCTCTGTCATTTAACATAGGGCATGGAAGTGGAAAGCCATGGATGGGAGCAAGGAAAGAAAATCGTGCGGAAGCCCTACGTGGTGAACGGTCAGTGCTGCTTCTGTCCTCCCCAGGGAGCACTTCACCATCTCCAGCCTTGGCGGGTTTCCTGCCCAACCGCACCACTGCCATTGCATTTGGGATTCTCCCTGTGGGTTATTCTGTCTCTCACCTTTGTGCTGCCAGACTGCCTTTAGCTGCTGCGCTGTGCCAGGGCAGGGCAGGGTCTTAGCTCTTGTCCAGGCTTGTGGGTATCCCCAGCCAGGCCTGAGCTGGGAGTCAGGACAGCAGCTCTGCCATTCCCCTGTGTCTGCTGTCTCATGAATTTCCTTTTCCCTCCTGTGCTGCTTTTTCCGCAGTATTTCTACCTGCAGCCCCAAGAGGGCTCCTGTCGCTCTGAAACGTGCCGGTGTGTGGCACCAGGGTGACACAGTAAGCTGAGGCGGCACCAGGGTGACAGCAAGCTGAGGCGGCAGTACCCTGCGTGTTTTAGCGGTGGGGTGGGCAGCTCTGAACAGTCCTGCTCTGCAGCCTGGGCAGAACGGCTCCACTCATGGTGTGAGCTGGAGAGGAGTGCAGTGCAGGCCTGGATGCCCGCAGCCTATGCAGAGGGCTGTTGTTTTCCATGTTTTCCTGCACGATCCTGCTGGGAAGCAGCCCTCTGTGTGTGAGCAGCCAAGCTGTGCTGCAGGAGCCACCTCCTTCCTGCAGTACTGTCAGGGCTTGATCTTGGGGAGAGGCTGAGGACCTCTGGGGTGCTGTTTGCTTCTTTCCCCTGCTTGATGGAGTCTGTCCTTGGCCTAGAGATGGAATATGAGGCCAGTCTTCCGGAGAAGAAGTCGAACACGCTCTCCCGAGACCTCATTGACTATGTGCGGTACATGATACAGAACCACGGGGAGAACTACAAGGTAAGTACTGGCTGTCTGAGAGCAAGTTGCAGCTGGAGGCTCTTCTGCAGGATGTGAATCACTAATCCTCTCTGTCCTGGACCCTGTTGCGCAGTCAGCTGGTTTTTAAGGGGAAGGAGCACTTTGAACTTTGGCCAGATGCCTGTTTGAGTCATGGCTGGTCTGCGTGGGCCTTTGGAGTGTGGCTGGGCTGCTGTTTGTTCTTGAGGCCACTCCTCTGACTTACTCTTTCCTTGGTCACAGGAAATGGCTCGAGATGAGAAGAACTACTACCAGGATACTCCCAAGCAGATTAAGAGAAAGATCAATGTGTACAAGAATTTCTATGCCGAAGAGTACAAGGATTTCATTGCATCGCTCAAGCAGGAAAAGATGGACGTGCAGTGACTGCCCTTTTTGCTTGGGTTTGCTTGCAAGTGCAGGGTTGACATGACCGTTTTCTGAACCGAGCAGGGACTGACAGACAGGTTCCAGTCACGGGCTCAGTGCCAGCAAGTTGAGCTACACAAAACCTCTGGTGATGGAGGAAGGACCTGCATCAGGCAGAGGTGGTTATAGCAGGCACAGAAGGCTGTGGCTGAACCGATCCCTTTCTGTGTGGCAGCCAGCACTTCTGCCTTGTTAAAGTAAATTGCTTTTCCAAACTGGTGTGAATGTCTTGCTCACGGGCTCTCGCTTCGCACAGTCCCACCTCGGAGAGCTCCCGGTGGGACATGGGCATTGGACATGTGTCTCCTGCAGCAACGAGGCCCGCGGGGTGCAGGCAGCACTTGGGCCTTTGCTGATTTCCCTGTAGGCAGCAGAGGCTGGAGCAGAGCCATGTGCTGCTTCCTTCCCCTGCGAGCGACCTTCCTGCCTCCAGCTCGGAAGACTGTGCTGGGGCCCCTTTCCCTGGCAAGGAGCTGGAGAGCAGCGCACAGCGATCAACCTCTTTTATTGACGAAAGGAAGGAGCGACTGTACAAAAGGTTTCGCAGCAGAGACTGGCCAGTGTGTGGTCCTTTTCCCCTGTGTGCTCCCCGGCTTTTGTGACCAGTTTTCCAGGACCCAGTGTGCCCTGGCAGGACCCAGCAGCCCTTTGCCTGCAGGCAGAACTTCCTGCGGGCCCTGAGCCTGGCTCCTTCCCTTTCTCCCTGAGAAGAGAGAGGGAGGGAGACCAGGTAAGTGTGCAAATGCCCATCTGCTGGGATGGCCTGTCCGTGCCGGTGGGCGAAAGGGCTGCCCCACTTGTTCAGCACCATTCACTTCATATCCTGTGGAGCTGCTGTGAAGGTGCAGGGCCCTCGTTCCTGCTCAGCAGGAGGTAAGAGCTGTGCTGGTGTTGCCATCCCAAGGGAGGCTTCATCCCTGAGTTGGGGGAGACGGCTGCCCTCTCCCCAGTGGCAGAGAGCAGAGCCTGCTGCTCGTGTTCCCTGAGGGCAGCCATGCCAGAGCTCAACCCCAAACTCCGTGGGGTGCAGCAAATGCTCCAGGACTGGCAGCCTGCTACCAGTGAGTCCAAGCTACAGGGCTCCTGCCCAGCTGCCTCTCCTCACACTGCAGACCCTGAAGAGGAGCGCTGTGAAGGATGGGAGCCCGTCCACCCCTCAGGGCTGGGAGAGCAGGCTGACCAGCAGGCTCTTCACGTGGAGGACACTGGTGGCAGTGCTCAGGCTGGCCCAGGTCGCGCTGGTGGGGAGCAGGAAGAGCTCCCGCTGCTCACTGAGTGTGTGCAGGGCCAGCTCCTCCCGCAGCTCTGCCACGCTCAGGGCATCGCTCTTATCCTGCGCGGGAGAGGTGGACGCTCAGGCGGGGAGCGGTGCCCAGAGCAGCGCTGCTGGCTGGCAGGAGCTCGGTCCTGGCAGGGATCGTGCACAGGCAGGGCTGCCTCGCTCCCACATTGGAGTGGCTTTGGCACAAGCTAATGGGAAGCAGCACCAGCTGTGTGCTTGGCTGCCTGCCTGGGAAATGTATTTCCCCTGGGGATTTTGCAGGCTGCTGCCTGGGTGCTCTCCTGAAACACCTTATCCAGGGCACCGGTAACGGCAGCCCCGTCTCCTGATAAAGGAGACAAGCCCCAAGAAACCAGATTTTGCAAGAGCTGGTGGATTTTGGGTATCAGGATTTCCCCTCAGGGCCTTGGGGAGGGACAGCTTCACTGCCAACAGCCTCGGTGGCAGCTGCAGGGACAGGCGGACAAACAGACAGACACCCACCTGCTTGTTGGCCAGCACGACGAGA